ACTATCCCAAGCAGGGCTGGGAGGGGGGTATAAAAAGACCTCCTGCCCATGTGCTCACTCTCTTTCCTCTCCTCTGCTGCTTCTTGCAAGACCATCTGTCTTCTGCAATAAACTGTAACCTTCTTCCCAAAGCAGTTGCCATGTTTGCTTATTTATTCCCGGCTTGGATGAACCAGGATGAAGACTTACTTCTAACAATAGAAACTTATGGAATATGATTCTCACAGTAACTATGGCCACCCCAAGTTACGCGTCGGGCATAAAGCCTTCCAAAACTTCCAGAGAGCACATGCAGTTTGAACGGGTCACGAACTAAGCCTTCCTCCGTCTCGGTCTCGCCCCACGCCACGAGATTGGAAGGACACTCCCCCCCCCGCCTCGGCACCCCACAGGAAACTCTACGGCAGGGGTTCTCAACCTTGGCAACTTTAAGACTTGTGGACTTCAACTCCCAGAATTCCTCAGCCAGCTTTGCTGGCTGAGGAATTCTGGGAGTTGAAGTCCACAAGTCTTAAAGTTGCCAAGGTTGAGAACCCCTGCTCTACGGATTTTCGAGACTTCCTCCTCAGTCTCGATTTGTGTTTCCGAAAGTAGAAGGCGGAGCCTTCGGAAACCCCGCCCACTAGTAGGGAACCCCAGCGGGAGAAGGCTGTGCTGACGTGTTCGTGTGGCTTTGCTGCGCTTCCCGGCGACGCGCCTCCCCCACCCCTCGCTTTACTCACCGTGTAGTGGATTGCCACAGTGTCGCCTGTCGCCGAGCGCTCCGTGCAGCCTTCAGGGGACGCCACCTGCGGAGAAAAAACAACAACAACCGGCCAGCTGCTCATCCTCTCCTCGGTTGAGTGCGGGTTAAGACTTTGCCGGACTGCAGCTTTCATCCTGGAGACACGCGCGTAGAGCTCCGTCCCAAACGGGTTGTTTTTCTTGCCCTTCCTAATCCGCGCGGGAGGCGAAGGATTCACACGTGAGGGAGCGCCCGGACCGGCTGCGAGCCAGGGATTCTCTCCCTTCGAGCTGTCATTTAAGCAGCCGGAGGCCCCGAGGCGTGCCGGCTTCTCCCCCCCAAGCAGCGGGGGGGAGAAGCAAACAGACGTGCCCCGCACACTTACCAGGGTTTCAATCTGCAGCGACTGGAGCGGAGTTTCGCTTTTGCTCGCCTGCTCCTGCTCCTGCCCTCTCGCCCCACAGCTCAGGAGGAGGGCGAGGAGGAGGCTGACATGGAGCCGAAGCAACATAGCGAGAGGAGACGGAGACGGCTGGGGGGCAAAGAAAGAACAAGCAACTACCCACCCGGGCTTATACCTCAAGGCAAGGGTGCCTCCCGGCGCCGCCCCTTGCTGCCCTATTCCCCGCCCCAGAGGGAGGAGAGAGCAAGCGGGGCCCTCCTGGCAGCGGGAGCGAGAGGGGAAACGAGGGCTTTGCGCCCTAGCTCCCTCCAAGGAGTAGTCCGATGCAGCGATGGGCCCATTTATAGTACCTGTAAATCCTGAAAATTGGGTGGATTAAACCGTGGTTGTACAGGGATGGGCGTGGGCCTTACGAGGGAAGAGGGTAGTGAATGAAAATTGTGCTCGGTAACATTTGCCTTTTACACAAACGGTATACATCAGTGTTTTTCCATCTTGGCAATTTAAAGCTGAGTAGACGTCAACTCCCAAAATTATTGGCTGTGGAGTTCTGGGAGCTGAAGTCTACATCTTTTAAAGTTGCCAAAGTTAAAAAAACAAAAACAAAACTCTGGTTATGTATGTTGGCACTACAAGAATACACTTTGGAAATATATACAGAAAAGGTGCCTGGGGGAATAGGAAACTGACTA